CTTGCTCTGCCGGCCGGGGCAAGGCCGGGCCCACAGCAGGTGCCCGCGGCTGGCCTCGCACCCTTCCGGCACGGTTCTTGCTCGGCAAGCAGAGGGAAAGCCCAGGGCCCAAGCGCTGCACGCTCTGGTCCCCGACCTTGAGCTCCGCCCCGCTGGCCTGGGGCGACCAGCGCCAGCGCCCCGGAGAGTGAGCGGCGTGAGAGCAGGGAACAAATGAGCTTTGGAGACTTGGAAGCTCTAGGGAGGAAAGCCAAGAACTCTGGGGCCTGCATACTTTTCCCGTCAGTTCTTCTGGTTCCTGGGAGAGGAAGAGACAGGGAACGAAAAGTACTCCAAGTGAATGCCCAGTGGTGCATACACAGGTGGTGCCAGCGGGAGGAATTTGGATTGCTCTGTCCTGGGGCCGATCCTGTTTAATCTTCTCATCAATGACATAGAAGAAGGGTGAACAGTCACAGATGACACTAAAACTGGGGCAGTGGCCACAACTGAGGAGCAGGCACTCCAGATCCAAAAGGATCTGGACAGACTATGGAAGTGGGCAGGAGACAACAGGATGGCGTTCACTGTGGATAAGGGCAAGGTCTTGCACTTGGGGCATAGGGATGGGTGTCATAAGTACAGGTCAGGGGACAAGTGGCTGGAGAGCAGCATTTGTGAAAGGGACCTCGGGGTGCTGGTTGACTGCAGCCTTGTGATGCGGTGGCCAAGAGGGCGAACACCACCCTTGGTTGCATAGCCAGAACCGTGGCTTCTAGAATGAGAGAGGCGTTACTGCCACTCTATATGACTCTGGTGCACCCGCAACTGGAGTACTGTGCTCAGTTTTGGGCCCCTCGTTACAGGAAGGATATAGCCAGGTTGGAGCCAGTGCAGCGAAGGGCCACAAGGTTGGTGGCCGGTTTGCAGGGGATGCTGTATGAGGCGAGACTGAAGGAACTGGGTCTCTTCAGCCTGGAGAAGAGGAGACTCAGAGGGGATCTGTTGGCGACGTGCAGGTATGTGAGGGGGTGTCACACGGAGGTGGGGAGAGGCCTGTTCTCCCCTGCAGAGGAAGGCAGGATGCGCTCCAACAGAGCCAAGTTCAGGGAACCAAGGTTCTGTTTGGATGCCAGGAAGCCCTTCCTGGCAGTCAGGACCCCGAGGGTGTGGAATGGGCTTCCATGAGAGGTGGTTGAGGCCCCATCGGTGAGGGTGTTGAAGGAGAGGCTGGGCATGCACAAGGTGGGCATGTTGTGAGCGGAGCCAGCTGGAGCCGGGGGTCAGACTAGATGGCCCGGGAGACCTCTTCCAACTCATGCTGTTTCTATGATTCTGGGAGCATGGGCTGCACTTCCCGGAAGATGGACTTCTGGCGAGGGATGTTTGCACTGGACAAGGCCTGGAAAGAAGGTGCTGGCTGCGGCATGCCCCGTTCATTGGGGGCTTTAAACTGAGCCCTGCAGAGGAGGGAGGGAGCCTGGGAGTGTCAACGGACGAGGCCCATGCGCCCCACCACAGGAACGGAAATGTCAGAGAGCACCAGCCCCAAGCCTGAGCCCCGCGCGCCCCGCCTGCTCCCGCTCCCCAGTCAGGGAAGGTGCTGCCTCCGCGAGTCGGACCTGCCGCCAGCTGTGGATCCCCGGCAGCTGTTCCGTGGTGCCCAGCTGGAGCCGGTTTGCCGATCAGGATCCCAGGGGGCCTTGGTCAAAGCCTTGCTGAGGTCAAGCCAGGCGATGTCCATTGGGGAGGGTGCACAACCAAAACATGCGATCAGATGCGCCTGGCAGGATGTGCTCCGTGCTTGGCTGCGTCCTGACGACCGGCTCGCTCGCTCCTCTGGGGGAGAGGTGGCCCTTTTCTCTGCGCTTGCCAGGCGCTGCGGGTGAGGCAGTTCCAGGTGTCCCAGAGCGCTCTCCCTGCAGGGCTGCCTTGCCTCATCTCCCCGGGGAATGTCTGCCCTTTTCTCCGGCACGTGGCCTTCCCGCTCGCTCCCAGCCCCGGACGCGGCCCTTCTCCCCGTCTCCACCCTCCCCAGCGCGGCCCAGCGCCCGGGCGCTCCCGCTGGCCTGGGAGCCGATGCTCCCGGCACCCATGTCGGCACGTGCACGCCTTGCCCTTGCCACAGGGAGGAGGCCAGGGCCTCTTCTCCGTCACCCCAGAGTGCAGGACACGGAACAGTGGCCTCGGGCGGCAGGAAGCCCGCTTCCAGCGGGATGCCAGGAAGAACCTCCTGTTGTTCGACAGTACGGCAATGGAGCCCATGGCTGGGGGAGGTGGCGGCGCTCGGGATGGACGGCCCCCTGGGAGGGTGCTTTAGCTTGGGGAGGGTGTCCTGCACTGAGCAGGCGGTTGGAGCTGACGGCCCCCTGGCCCTTCCAGCTCGACTGTCCGTGATCCCAGAGTGCAGGACATGGGATAATGGGCTTGAGACCTGGACGCCGGATTCTGGCCAGAGATGAGGACAAATTTCCTGGTGGTCTGAGCAGTTTGGCGGTGGGACCCCTGACCCAGGGAGGCGGTGGGCTCTCCCGCCTGGAGGCATCCCTGGGGCAGCTGGCAGCCCTCCGGAGGGATGGTGTGGCTGGCGGTGTGCTGAGCAGCAGGCTGGGCCGCCGGCCCCTCCCGGCGCTGCTGTTCTCCGATTCTGCTTTCGCCAGCTGGGCCTGATCCACCCGACGAATGGTGACTCTGCAGATCTGCCCGGCCTCCCGTTCTGCTGAGTCACAGATGACGCAGGCCTGGCTCCTCCGATAGCAGGCTGCCTGCGCCTTTGCTCAGGCGGAGATAAGCAGGGCCCAAAGGCTCGGCTTCTTTGCAAGAGTTTGGACGCGGCAAAAGCCGTTTTGTCAGGCCGTTATGGATGGCTGAGGGCTCTCAGAGGACATCGCAGGAGGCCTGCTGCTGGATCAGACCCCAGCGGGCCCACCAGCTCCAGAGCCCCGTTCTCCAGCACGGCAAGCCCGAGGCCTCCACAGGCAGGGCGGCAGCCCCTCCCAGACCCACATTCCTCAGCAGACAAGCGGTGACCTGTGGCGTTGGCGTCGGCGTCCTGAGCACAAAGGAGCAAAGCAGCCGCCATGACTAATGCCAGCCCTTGGGCACCGTCTGGGCCAGCCAGCCGTGCCACACCTTAGCTCCGCATCGTGCAAATATTCCTCCCTTTGATCTGTCCCGAATTCCCCACCATCGCGCTTCGCGGCCCCATAAATTCCAGTGCGATGGGAGCGGAGGAAAGGGCGCGTCTTCTCCCTGCCGCGCACGGTCCTGGCCACCTGCCGTGCCTCCCCTTGCCCTCCTTCCCCAGAGCTCAGCCGCACCAGGCTGTCCGCCGGGCCGGGCCTGGCCTTGCGGGGGCTGCTGCAGCCCCTGGGCGGCCGTGGCTGCTCCTTCCCACGGCCTGTCCAGCCTCACAAGGTGCTTTCCAGGGCAGGGACCGGAGCGCCGCGAGCGCCTTCAGGACGGGCGCCTGGCCTCCGGCTGCCCTGGGCCCCAGCAGGCCCTGCACGGCGCTGGCGACCGGGGAGAGCCGGGGGCCCGCAGCTGCACAGGGTCCGCCGGAGCAGCGGGGGGCGGGGGTCCTCCAGGCGCCCCTCGGCCCACGGCCCGTGGGCATGGCAACCAGCCCCTGGAGCTGCGCAGCCGGCGCCCGAGCGGCAGTTTCTCTCGGGCGGCGTTTCCGCCTTTGGCCCTCTTCTTATGATTGCTGGGGCGCTGCTCCCCCGGCACGGGATGAGTTTTCTTGCACCGATGGGCCAGCGCATCCACGGGGGTCATGTTGCAGGGGGCCACGGAGGAACACAGAAAGGGCCCTTCCACTCGAGCGTGGGGACCCCCACCCACCGCCAGCTGCACGGCCGGCCCCCGGCGGGACATTCTGAACCAGAACGGGGGGCTATCCCCCCCAGCTGCACACCACGGCTGTGTGAACGCGCCCTGCAGAGGCCACACCGGCGGGGCCTTGATCCCGGTCCCCCTCGGCCGGAGCGCCTCTGAAGCCAGGCGCAGAAATGGCCCCGCATCCCGAGAGAGAAGGCCGGGCGCCCTCGGCCAGCCCCCCACCTGCCCCGTCCCTCCACCTTGACATGCCCACCCCTGCAGGGTCAGCTTCAGCTTGGGGGGGGGGGGGGCGCGCGCGCGCACACACACACACACACACACACACACGTGTGTCTGCCAGCGCTGTCCTGCAGAGGGATTTGGCCTCGGTGCAGAGGTCCCCCCCGGAGGTTTGGGCCGGCGGATGGAAGGCCGTGCCCTGCCCCCCTCGCCACCCAGGCCCCAACGTGGGCCAGGCGCAGGCGCAGGCGGGAGCAGGAGGGCCGGGCGTCCCGGGGGCTAACCCCTTCCGAGAGAAGAGCGGGTTTCCCAAGCCCCCGTGAGGCGAGCCGCCCTCCTGGGGAAACTGCGGGGGCCCCGGAGCAGCAGCGGGTGGCCAGCGTCGGCTGCCGGCGGCCCCACCAGCCCATGCGCCCGGGGGTGTCCCCTGCCGGGAGGGAGCCGAAGCGGGCAGGCCAGGTGCGGGACTCCGAGAGGCGGGGAAAGGGGCCGCGGCCGCCCCGGCAATACCTGCCCAGAAGGCTGCCGGTTCTCTAAATGTCCCCCAGCAGCCAAAAGGCCCAAGGGCACCCCGAGTAACTGGAGGCAGGTGCCAGAGGAAAGGGGGCGCGCAGCCGTTGCCAGCAAGGGCAGCTGAGCGGAAGAGCGTGGGTCCTCCGAGGAAGGCAGGGAGGGAGCGTGGCCCCGGCCCCAGAGCCGAGAGGCTTCTCGAGCAGCAGCAAGTGCGGGAGCCATGAGAGGCCCTTGAATCGGGGGTGGGGGCAGCTCCTGCCTGCGCAGCCCCCCCCAGCACATCTGCCCATTTAGCGACTGGTTCCCCCTCCCGCTGTGTCTGACGCCCCCACAACCCGCCCCCCACCTGCCAAGCTATCAGCTGCGGGGGGGCTTGAAGCCCTCCCCGCCCCGGCAAGGACGCAGGACTGCCGCCCGCCCGCCCACAAAGAGACGCGGAGACAGATGGCTCAGGTTGCAGGGGTGACTTTTATTTGCAGAAGGAGCCGCAGGGGCTGGGGGGGGGGGCGGAGACGCTCCTGGGGGCCGACTCAGTGGTACCGGTGGGCCAGGGCGTGGGCCACCACGTTGACCAGCTTCTGGAAGGAAGCGTGGTAGTTCGCGTTGAAGTCCTTCCCGAACTGGCTGGCCAGGACAGTTATGAGGATGTCGCCAAGAAGCTGGAAGAGGAAGTGGAGTGTGAGCCCTTCGCCCGTGGGGCCCTTCCGCCCCCCCGCAGCTTCCCCTCCGTGGGGGCCACTCTTTCCCCACAGCAGGAAACCTAAGCGAGGCACTGAGGCTGGGACGGGATAGCTTCGGGGCATGGACGGGAGGCTTTCCCTGGCTCGGGCGGGCACCGCAGAGAGCGCCCGGCATGCAGCTTGCCCTCTGCCAGCCCCGACGGCAGGCCGGCTCCCGAGGGCCAGCCTCACGGCTGCCGCAGGGCCCCAGCCCACCGGCCCCCGGCAGCGAGGGCGGGCCAGCGCAGTGCCAAGGCCTGGAAGATGGGGCAGGCAGCGGGACGCAGGGCGGGGGGCGCCTGGCCCTTGTGGTCAGCGTTGCTCGGAGCCGCTCGGCACACGGACACTGCGAGGGATGTCCGGGAATGGGCTCCCTGCAGTCGCGAAAGGGATCGTCCCTCCCTCAGGCGTGCCCTGCAAGGGTTCCCCCGCACCCCCGGTGGGTTCCCCCTCCTTCAGGCAGGGTCTGCCACTCACCTTGAAGTTCTCGGGGTCCACGTGCAGCTTGTCGCAGTGCAGCTCGCTCAGCTTGGCGAAGGTCTCCTTGATGTTGTCCAGGTTCTTGATGGCATCTCCGAAGGAGGTGAGCACCTTCTTGCCGTGCGCCTTGACCTTGGCATTGCTGCAGATGGCGGCGGCATTGGAGAGGTTCCCGAAGTCTGTGAAGAACCTCTGGGTCCAGGGGTAGACGACCAGGAGGCTGCGGGAAGAAGGGGAGAGAGGGGGCAGCTGCTTCTCCGGAGAGCGGGGACATCTGGCTTGTGTCCGCCAGGCCTCCGCACGGCAGACTTACCGGCCCAGGGTCTCTCCTCCAGTGGTACCAACATCAACCTTGCCCCACAGGTTGCAGATGAGCTGCTTCTCCTCGGCGGTCCAGTGCACCATGGCTGACGGCTGGGGTGGGCCTTTCTCTCGGTGAGGGGAGCGTCTGGGCTGAGCAGAGGCCCTGCCAGTGGCGAGGCTTTGTACCCTGCGCCCCAGCTCCGCCCCCTCTGCGTCTGGGTGGGGCTGGGGCAGGGGCTGGGCAGGCCGCCGGAGGGGCGAGAGCTGGGGGAGGCGGGGGGCCGCCTCTGCAGGGGTGTGGCGGTGCCAGCTGCCCGTGGGCCGAGATAGCTGGTCCTCGGGGAGGCGCAGAGCCCGTGCCCTTTATCAGCCGGGTCCTGCCGGCAGGACCCAGCCGGGCGTGTGGCTGTGGGATGTGGCCGCCCACGCCAGTGCGCCGAGCCTGCTGTGTGGGTGCGACGCGCACCGTGCGCCTCCGAGGGCCGCTGCGCTGCTCGGGCGTCTTCTCCTTCGGTGTCTCGCGAGGCCGGGAACCATCCGCTGGGCTCTGTGCGGCAGGTGGCCGCAGGCCGGCGGGGCGTCTGGTCCTGCTCCCGTGCAGCCTGCGCCTTGGGGCCGGCACCCGGGGCCCTCTGCACACGCGCTGTGTGGCTCGGGCGCCGGCCTCCCCGCAGTGTGGGAAGGCCTTGGCGCTCCTCGCCTTCTCAGGAACCTCAGGCAGAGAGATGGAGAGAACCGGGCATGCTTTGCCCGGGGAGGAGGAGATGAGGGCAGCGCTGTTCAGATGCGGAAAGGAACGGGACGGCCGCGCGTGGGTGGCATGAGGTGGTGCCCTGCAGCGGCAGGGGCTTGTCCCCACAACGCCGCTCTTCCGTGAGTCTCAGTGTGGGTCACACAGAGGCATGACACCCACAAAAGCAACCCCAGGAGCCAGTGGGAAAGCGCTTGGGGACCTCCCTCCCACGGCGCCCCTTCGAAGCAGGTTGCCGGGGGTGGAATTGGAGGGGCAATGAGAAGCCACGTACGCCACCAGTCTGGCTGCTTCCCTGCAACGGAGAGCCCCTTGGGCGGGGGCAGAAGCCCCCGTGGTTGAAGGGACGGGGCCGCCTTCCCACTTGCCCCCAGTGGCAGGGGTGGGCAGCTTGTAAGGCCAGAGTGGATCACGGCGAGCCCCACGAGGACCCTCCAGCTGGGGGCAGCTCAATGGACGCAGGGGGAAGAGCTGCGGGCGGTGGGAGGCAGGCGCCGGCTGACCGGACTCAAGCGGCCAGGGAAGGGGTCTCGGCCGTGGGCGCCTCGATGGGACGGGCAGCCCAGCGCACAGCTGCTGCGCAAGAGGTGAGCTCTGGGAACGGCACCGCTGGCTTGTGCGATCGCGTGGGTGGCCTGAGCCGGGGAGAGTGCAGAGAGGCCACAGAAGGGGTCCCGGCGAGGAGCGGCTGCCGCAAAGGGCCCAGCGAGGAAGGGGAGGCAGGGAGAGGGGCTTAAAATCAGTCGGGGTGGGGGTGGGGAGGGGCCATCTCTCTCCCTCCGCCATGGCACCGGAGCCCCAAGGGGCTGCCCCACGAAGCAAGGGGAGGGAACCGCAGGCCGGATCGGAGGGGCAGCTCAGCGCCCCGTGCCCAGCGATGGAACGGCAACGGCCCCCGGTCTGGACGCCTTCGCGGGGAGGGGGCTGCATTCCTGGCCGGAAGGGGGCCCCGAGGGCAGGGGGCCTTCCTGGCCCGGGCACTCGTTGCCAGCGGCAGCTTGCCTGCGGCGCCAGTCAGGCGAGCGTGCTGGGCAGGGCTCTCGGGTCCCTCCAGCGGGCAGCTGGGTGCCACCCTGAGCACGGAGCTGGCTGGATGAGGCACTGGCCCGACCCAGCAGGGCTCGTCTCAGGTTCTTGGTTGCCAGGTAATCCGTCTGGCCGTCTGCGAGGGCGGCTGCAGCCCCCCGGCCGGTTGTCAGCACAGGGGAGTTGGGTTCCCAGCGGGCAGCCCCACCAGCCTGTCTGGACCGGCTGCCTCCTGCCCGCCCTTGTCCACCCAGCGCAGCCTCGGACGCTGGCCGTGCGTGGATGGAAACGGAGGCGGAGCGCCCACGTGCCTCTTCAGCCCAGCCCGTGACCTCCCCCGCCGTTTTCCTGTAGATGTTGGAGTGTGCAGGGGCAGGAGGGAGCCGCAGTGGCCCCCGGGCAAACAGCCGTGGCGTGGAACCAAGGGCCACTCCCCCAGGGAGGCCCAGGAGCCCTGCAGGCAGCGCCGGCCGAGCCTGGGCCAGATCCGTGGCTGGAAAGCAGCGCAGGCAGTGGTGTGCAAAGCCGCCAGATGCGCCAGAGGGACTCCTCAGGTGCGCTGCCCTGTCCCTTCCGTGGCATGTGCTTTGCAGAAACGTGGGGCAAAATTGCCACCGAGTACATGAATAGGGCAGGGCTGGGGCAGGGACCCATCCCGGAAGTGGCCGTGTTCACACGGCACGCCAGGCCACCGCGGGTGGCTTCTGTGCGCCAGAGCTGTTAATGTGTGCTGTGCAAGGGATGCGCTGCGCATGCCCCCCCGAGCGGTACTCCTGCTGGCATGTGTCCCCCCAACCCCACGCCTGACATTGCTCCCAAGGCGCATCTCCTGCCCGCCCTGCCGGCCTCTTCCTCACTGGGCCACACGGAGGCCGGACGGCTGGAGAGGCTGTTGCGGATGCCGCGCTTTCCCGAGGACTCTGTAGTGGGTGCATGCCAGGACTGTGAAAACCATGATCCTGGGTGCAGACATGACAAGCCATGGTGGTACCAAGAGACCATACGACAAGCAGGCTGCAATCAGGGCGTCTAAGGACCAAACTTGCCCTGCTGAAATATGGCAGGCCAAAATGGTCAAAAGGAAAACAGATACAGAGCGAGTCAGAAGAGGTCTCCCGGGCCATCTAGTCTGACCCTTGGCAAAGAAAAGCCCCACCACGGCTTGCTGTGTTGTCTGAACCCAGCCGGTGCCCACAGCTGTTTTGTCAAAGCCAAGAAGCTACATCATTGGCCAGTGAAGCACCTGGGAAGATTCGGACTCCGTTTGGGGCGCCGTGAGGCTCTTCTGGAGCATTTTGTGCCAAAGGGAGCGGGGAGTCAGCAAAGGGCAGCGGTGGCCGTGTTCGCGAGAGATTGCAGGCGGCTCAGCGTGCAGGGGTGGCAGCCGGCTGATAAGACCAGCCCATTTCTGGTATCACAGAGACTCATGCGCCTGTCTCCAGGGCAGCCTGCGGTCTGGAGGGTCCCGACAAGCTCTGCCAGAGAGCGACTGCAGGGAGATACACTCACCCAGCGCGAGAGGTCTGGGCAACGGTTCCCCGGGACCTCAGGCATGGAGGTGAGCTGGAGCTGGCGGCCATGCCTGGGGCCTTCCGCAGGTCAAGCAGGTGTGTGACTGTGGGGCTGCAGGCCCCTCATGAAGGGCCTGCTTCATGTGACTGAATCGGAGCTGGAAGAGGCCTGGAAGGCCCTCGGGTCCCACCCGCTGCTGGTGCAGGACACCAGTTTGCACCATCCCACTCAGGTGGCTGCCCAGTTTTGCCATGAATGTCCCCAGTGTGGGAGAGCCCACCTCCTCCCCAGGCAGCTGGTCCCACTGCCGTGTTGCTCTGACCGTGAGGAAGCTCTTCCTGATGCCCAGCCTGAATCTGGGCTGCTGCAACTTGACTTGATTATTCCGAGTCGTGCACCCTGGCATCAGCGAGGAGAGACCTTGGCCTTCCTCTTTGCGACAGCCTTGGAGGACCTTCTGGAGGGATCCCATGTCCCCCCTCGGCCTTCTCTTCTCAAGGCTGAGCATGCCCTGTTCTCGCAGTCCCTCCTCGCAGGGCAGTGTTTCCAACCGCTGCATCATGTTTGTCGCCTTCCTTTCCCATTTACCCACATGTTGAATGAAGGCCAACGTTAAAAGAAACCAGCTTTACACTCGGCACCAGCAGGCCTTTCCCCACCGGCCGAGCAGCACGACAGTGGAGCCTCCTACCTGGGGAAGCTGTGGGCCCCCCCTTGCGGGAGGCATGCGGACAGTGCCTGGGCACTCATCCGAGGGCCGGGGCCGCCGAAGGGTCCTGCAGCCGCAGCGCGCGGACCCCCTCCCTCCCCTCCGGCGAGGCGAGGGGCTCCTGCACGCGGGGTCGGGCCCCCGCCACCTCCTGCCGCCCACTCCAGCGGCGCTCCTCCGCCTCCCGGGGGGCGCTCGCCAGGCGCAGGGCCACGCCGCCCGGGTACCCTGCGCCGCCCAGGCGGCTCCACCACCGCCGCGGGCCCGTGACTGCAGGGACGGGCGTCCCCCCCGCGAGGCCGGGGGCTGCGGGCGGGCGCGGGACACGCGGGGATAACGCGGCGGATGCGGGCGACGCGTGTCGCCGCCCGGGGCGCCG